CAATTAATCAGAGATAATTAATCCCTGATCGTTCTCAGATGACTCTGATCAACCGGTTCAGAAGAGAGTCTCTGAGCTACACCAGCAAACAAGGCCTGTGCCAGGCGGCTCGTGATGCCCACTGGCTCCAGATTCCTGGATTATCGAAAATCAATCACCCCAGATGCTACGTTCTGATGAAAGGCGGAGACACCAAGTCGTTCCTCAAAGATTTCGGATTAACCGCCGCTATTTCCTTGCTTAAGTGGGTGGTGAAGACCAATATAACCGGCGAATGCAGGATTGTGAGCGAAACTGGAAAAATCCCAGTAGGTGAACCCAAAAGGCCTGCAGTCTTGGTGCTTAACCCCATCCATCTAGATGAAGATCTTCGACTTTGCCATTGCCGAATGCTACAAGTTTATAAAAAAAGAAAAACACCAGGACATTGACGAGGAAATTCGTGAGGCTTTGGAGATCGAGTGGCACGAGTTTCTGGATCAGTATTACAAAACGGTTCATGTGGGCAACCACTTCAAGTTGATGGATAAAACCATCCATCCTTGCACGGGTAAAGGGAGCAGTAGGGGGAAATTGGAGGATTCTGAGCGATTGTTCCAGAAGCAAAGGACATGGTTCGCAAGGCCAACTACCTGCTGAACCAACTCAGGGAGCACATTCCCACGCTGGAGATGGATGGGTACATGAACATTTGGATACTCAAGCCAACCAACAGCAGTCGGGGCCAAGGCATCCACATCTGCCGCACTTTGCAGTATATTCTGGATGTTGTTAAGAAGAACCCGAACCGGAGGTATATTATTCAGAAGTACATAGGTAGGATGTTCACATACATTGAAATAGAGGATTATGGGGGTGTTTTTTAGAGAGGCCGATGCTTATTCACGACACCAAGTTCGATATAAGGCAGTGGTTTTTAGTGAGCAGCTCCGATCCGTTAGTGATCTGGATTTATAGGCGAGTCAAACCAGGACAAGAGCTTTTCGATGACAATCAGCTTATTCATCTAAACTCGAACATGTTGAATGAGGAAATTGTTTCCAGAGTGTGCTACTTGCGGTTCAGCTCCCAAACCTACAATTTGAGGAAGCTTGACGAGTCAATTCACTTGACGAACAATTCCGTGCAAGCAAAGTATCTGCAGCACGGTACCAAAGACCCTCTATTGCCCTCATATGCTATGTGGGACTCCAAGGAATTCAAGGTTATTCTTTATTTTTGATCTGAGAGGACTTATGCCCCATTATGGCCCCATTATGGCCCCATTCTAGATGTACCTTTCGGACATTGGGTACCCGCAGATATTCGAAACGGCGATTTACCCGAGCATGAAGCAATCCATTATTGGCGCTATGTTGGCACATCGCGACAAAATCGACAACAGAAAAAATTGCTTTGAGCTGTACGGCGCTGACTTCATGTTAGCTGAGAGCTTCGAGCCCTGGCTGTTGGAAATCAACTCAAACCCTGCGCTTCACGCGTCAACGCCTGTTACAGCCAAACTGTGCCCCCAGGTGCTGGAAGACGTCATCAAAGGTACCCCGATTTAAAATTGAAAAAGTCTTCAATCAGTTGATGAGCTTTGGAAAATTGCAGTCGTAGTGGATTATGCCAGAAACCCAAAGTCCAGCACGGGAAACTTTGAATTGATCTACCAAGAAAAGGGGGATGTGCGGGCAGTGAAACCAAACCAGAAATTTCAACTAACCGGTTTTCCGCTTTCGGAAAACTACTTTTGTGACCTGGAGGAACCGCCGCTGGAACACAACGCGATGGTTCCCAAAAGGTTTGAGACCCCCGACCCAGGGAAATATCTGCTGCAAACCGGGCAAACAATGAAAGAAGCTCTGAAGAACCTGCTGGAGATTGTTAAGCGCGAAAAATCAAAAAGGTTGGTTCCTGCGCTCTTTATCACAGTAGATAATTTGGCTCAGGAAAAAACTGTTGCGCCTGCAGGGGCTCAAGGCGGGAAAAGTGCATCGAAGCGAAGCTCGCAGCGTATGACTCCTGCAATCAGACTCACTCAGAAGTGATATCGCTGTTTCAAAATCTCACACTTTCCCAAAAACTTGATGAGTTGGAGAGCGACGACAATTTGACGGAAAATGAGAGCAGGAGGGTGACTGAGGTGCTGAGCGAGATCAAGAACATGCACAATAAAAAACGTCTGCTGACTAGTTTAGTTCAAGTAGTGGATACGCTGAAAAATGCAAAAAAGGGGCCGTAATAAATGAGTTTGGAACGTAGTGTTTTTTGCTATAAAATGGTAGTACTAGCTACATGTTACATCTGTTCGGTCCTTGTTAGGCCTGGGTAACTCAGTGAATTTTTAGGTGTTGGCGCAGTGCTACGCAAATGGCTTGTTGCGCCAACCCAACGCACCGGCGCAGTAACTCAGTTCCGTTGCTGGAAAAATGTTGATGACTTTTTTACTTGTTTTTAGATTTATTTTAAGGGCCATTTGTTGATAATTTTTTGAAATATCTTCAAAATTTCAGAATTTTCCAGCTTAAGCCAAGTTACTCTTTCTTCTAAATGCTCAATTTTCTAAAGTTTCACTTAAAAATGCTGACAATGTTAAGGTATTTTTCGCGAAAAATTATGAAATAAATTTCGAATCTTTCGTCGCTTTGTAAAATGTTCTGAAATCCCTTTCCAGGGACGAATTTGGAACAAAATGAAAAAATTTTTACTTAACAGATTAACGAAAGTTTATACTTAACAGATTATTTGGAAATTTCGTCACCTCCATTCTTCTGAAGACTGTAGAATTTGTTAAAAAATGTGTTTTTTTAGTTTTTGACCAAATTTTTTTGCTTTACTTTCTAATCAAAAACGCTCTATTTTGTAGTTTCACTTAATAATACTGACAATGTGGCGGACTTTTATCCGAAAATTTACAAGATAAATTTTCACAGTCACTTTTCACAGTCACAGTCACAGTCAAATTGAGTTTTTCCCGAAAACCATCAAGGTTTTCTGCAAAACCGATCGCAAAACTAAAAGTTTTAAATCGAAAACGAAAGAAAATGATTTTCTGATGAGTTTCTTCTTTTCTGACAATAATGAGGTGTTTTCAGTCAACAATTAGCAAATTAATTTTGCTACAAAATTCGCCTCATTCATCGATTTGCAGGCAAACCCCATTTCAGCTTCGAATTTGTCACAAAAACCAATTAATTTTATTCAGTTTTTTACTGAAAGTTRAGACTATCTTGAAAAAACGACCCGAGAGCAAAAGTTTACTAAAAAAATATTGGGAGAATTCGCCGCTCTCSCCGCTCTGAAGACTTTTAAAGTTTCTTTAAATTTTCATTAAGCAATTATTTCTACGCAAAAATCGCATTATTTTTCAGTTTTACTTAAAATACTGGCAATCTTCAGGTATTTTCTGTGAACAATTATAAGATAATTTTTATTGAAACGCTCGCCKCCTTAMCCGCTTTGCAAAAATGTTTGGAAAACTTTTTGCAGCTTCGAATTATGAACAAAACCCTAATAATTATTTTTAGGTATTTTTCCAAATTTCCAAACAATTGTAAACAGTTTTGAAATCCCTTTCCAACTTCAAATTTAGAACAAAAATCAAATAATTTTCTATCAAAAAACGAACAGAATAAGCGAAAGTTTATAACACATTACTTGGAAATCTCTTTACCTCCATACCTCTGAAGACTGTAGAGTTTGTTGAAAAAATGTGTTTTTTTAGTTTTGACTGATTTTTGTCCTTTACTTTCCACCCAAAAACGCTCTATTTTGTAGAGTTTCACTTAATAAATTTATAGCTTTGTAAAAATTTTACAAAAACATTTCTCAGCGTCGAATTCGGGACAAAAACGAAAATAAAATATATATGATTGATGCATTTTTAGCATCTAGAATAAATCAAAAGTTTGGGTTTAAATAGCAAACAAAGATTATTTAATTTTACTTTGTAGCCTAGAAGATCATCAAGGTAAAGAGTTTTTCTTTAAAAAAAACAGCTAAATTTAATTAAAAATTAATCAAACATTTGAATCTTATGCCATTGCACTCGGACTCTTGGAATTTGTGAGATAGCAAACCTCAAACATGTCAAAAGGACAAGCCGACAACAACGTTTAATTGTCATTTGTCATTTGTCATTTATCATTTCTCAATATGGCGTCGACACTTTAATGTTGTGCTTCATCTATGGTCACTTGTTCGTGTGTTTAAAGAGCAGCAAATAACGCGAAATCCCGCCAGTTTAATTATACTAGCCACGAATCAACCATATTACTGCTTTTGAGTAGAGTTCGGTCTCCATTGTCTATATAAACCAGCTGGCTGTAAAATGGCCTAGATGTGAACGACAGTCAAGCATTGTAGTTTTCCCAATTTAGTTTCCCATCCTCGTGCGTGAAATTTTTAAGTAGAAACGGAAAATGATGGAATTTTCTCAGCCTCCGCCCAATCTTTCCATGCCGCCCCCCAATCTCGCGGCCCCGCCACCGGGAGTGGGCATTCCCATGCAGCACAATATGGGTAAGCATTGCTAATGCCCAAAAAGTCCAGTTGAAAGCAAACGCTCCAAAGCCCCAAAATCTTTGTCCGAACAGATGTTTTGACTTCCATTTCAATTGGTTTGTTTCAGGATACAACCATAATAGGCAACCATTTCGACCTTTTATGAAACCCTTGCCAGGTCCGTTGGGAAACATGACCCTGGAGGACTTCGATGGAAAGCGCCTCAGGAAGTCAGTTATGCGTAAAACTGTGGATTACAACTCGTCTGTTATCAAGGAACTGGAAGTATGTATTTATACTCGGATGTTCAAAGCGCAGTGCTAATTCGCATGTTCCAGACTAGAATATGGCAGCGAGACTACCGGGATAGGCGAGCCATGCAGCCAGATGCTATGTACTATCCAGACCTGATGCCGCCCCCGTCTTATCCGGATAATCCCATCAACTGTGTTACTACACGGTTTGTGAAAACTGCCACCAACAAGATGAGGTGCCCGATTTTCTGCATGGCGTGGACCCCGGAAGGCCGAAGGCTGGTTACTGGAGCCAGCTCAGGAGAGTTCACTCTTTGGAATGGTCTCACTTTTAATTTTGAAACTATTTTACAAGTACGTATCATCCTTGCATTGATTTGGTATGTTGGTTTTTCGGCGGTTTGTTTAACGGCGGGTTTTACTTTTTTCTAAAACACCCCAAATGATAAGCTAATGAAGAAGTTCTTGTTTTGAAATTGAAACTAATTTTCTAAATTGGCAATCCAGCAACAGAATCCAGAGGGGATTATAATTTGATGCTGTAAAATCGTCTACTGGCGGGTAGAATTCGAGTCCCGTTTGGTGAATACTGTTTTCTTTAGGCGCATGATAGTCCAGTGAGAACGATGGTTTGGAGCCACAACGATAGCTGGATGGTAACCGGCGACCATGCAGGTTTCGTGAAATACTGGCAGTCGAACATGAACAACGTAAAAGTCTTTCAGGCGCATAAAGAGGCCCTCCGCGGTATAAGGTATCTACAACTTCTCTTCACTATGTTCAATTTTGTATATTTATTTGAACGTTTGGACAAAATAAATCTGCCTCCCTTCCCAGTCCCTTTGGCATTAGTGCGATACTTTTTTAGAAGTGATTAAGACTATGAAATGGACCTTTTCTTAAATTACTGTGATAATTGATAATTGCCTGCTGTGATATTGTATCGTGATGTAATTTATTATTTGGAATAAATTCGTTTTCCATGCAAATCTCTTGAGCCAGGTCCTCGTCTCTTTTCATCCCGCGCTAGCTAATGCGGGGCGCAAAGGGTCCAGGACTTGCATTGTTATTTCGCACCTTTCGCGTCTTTCAGGTTGTCTAACAAACAACTTTTTTCAACACTAATCCTCTACGCGACTTCGATTCTTTTTAGCAATTTGGTGAGATTGGTCAATTGTTGATAATGGTATTTTGATAATAAAGAGCACATTTTAAATAAAGATTACCTTTTCCCGTCACCGGTCCTTTCCCTCAATACTTGCTTGATTGATTCAAGTATATTGGCAGAAACGTATTTTCCACATGGGTGTCAAGCGCTGGAATTAGGACGGTTTTTTATGTCCCGATATCTTCGGTTTTGGTTCCTAAAGGTGTCCTAACTTTTCACATGCAGTTGCTTTGGAACTTTGTGAAGCAACATGCGGTAATGATTGCCTTTTCCGTTCAATTTTTGCTTTATTATCAGCTACCGATAACACAAGTATTTGATTGTTTAATTCGAAAAATCCAATTTAGATGGGTAGGTTTCGAGGATAAAATGCAACTTTCCAGATTGAAGTCTTTGCCTTTTCAACAAAGCCGATTTCAGTGTTTTTTTTATCGCTCATTAAAGTCGGGATGATGTAAATCTTGGAGAAAAAGTCTGAAAGTAAACATTTTATATTTCATTTCTGCTGTTTGCAGCTTTTCATTTTTTCTGCTTCTCAACTTCATCAGTTCTTAATTGAGTTTTCAGTGCATTTTACTCTCGTAATCCTATCAAAGCTTCACAGTTTTAATGGGTAAATTGCCAACTATTTTGTAAACTTTCGACCGCATATTCATTTGAACAAATTGTGACCTTAGATTATGTTGTTTAGCTTTAGTCCTTCCGACAACAAGTTCGTGACGTGTTCAGACGATGGTACCCTTCGAATATGGGACTTTTTCCGGTACCAAGAAGAGCGAGTTTTAAGGGGTAAGTCACTTGATTTGCGGCCGACTACAAGCAAAGATAAATTGGTTTCAGTCGTACACAATCCTGTTTTTAATGTGTAAATTGCTTCTTTGCGTCTCATTCACTGCATTACTTTTTAATAAGTTCCTTCTTCGACTTCATGATGTAGACTGAGAAAATTTTCCAAAACTACTCAATTTTATGATAATATTTTCCCTCAAAGGTCACGGAGCTGATGTGAAATGCGTGCACTGGCACCCTCAAAAGAGCCTTATCATTTCCGGCAGCAAAGACAACCAACAACCGATCAAGCTGTGGGACCCGAAGAGCGGCCAATCTTTAGCGACGTTGTAAGTACTTTCTACTTGAGCCTTTAAATCGACAATTAAGCCTTTTGCATTTTTCAGACACGCTCACAAATCCACTGTGATGGACTTGAAATGGAACGCCAATGGAAATTGGTTGATAACCGCATCCAGAGATCATCTTCTCAAGCTGTTTGACCTGCGGAATCTTAGCCAAGAAGTGCAGACGTTTAGAGGGCACAAGAAGGAGGCTTCTAGTGTTGCCTGGCACCCGATTCATGAAGGACTTTTTGCTAGTGGAGGATCGGATGGAGCAATAGTTTTTTGGCATGTTGGGTAAGTTGGCTCTAATCCCTCTTCAAAGCCGAGTTAACGCTGCGATTTCAGAGCTGACAAAGAAGTGGGAGCAATAGAGCAGGCTCATGATAGTATCGTCTGGACCCTCGCCTGGCACCCTCTTGGCCACATTTTGTGTTCCGGATCAAACGATCACACTAGCAAGTTTTGGACGCGCAACCGGCCGGGAGATCAAATGCGCGACAAATACAACCTTAACACCCAACCAAATGGCATTGCCGGATTAGAGGATATGGATCTGGGAGGTAAGAAGCGCCGGCTTCGTTCAGGATGCATTTCTTCAACTGTGTGGGTTTAGATGAGCAAAACAACTCGATGATCCCTGGAATGGGTCCAGAGGACAAAGTGGAAATAACCGCGTTGATTGGCGATGAAAACACTGCCATTCCTGGATTGGATCTGGATTCCGGCCTTTTAGTCAACGAGGAGAGGGCCAAACCCAAGAAAGTGCCCTTTAGCAAGCCAATTCCCAGGAACTTTCAAGCTCAATGGAACGAAGCAACCAGTGTTGGTGAGTTTGGGAACGCGACTGAACAGTCCAACTTAATGTTCATTGTTTATAATTGCTTTAGAAACTACCCCTGGAGTGGTCCCATTGGAGAAAATCTGCCCCAACGCTATTATCGTCTACGGGAAGCTTATTCCAGTGGAACGTAAGTAGGGCCGCAAGCACCAAAATCAAAACACTATAAGCAAAATTTCAGCTGGCTCCAAGTTAGAAAAGGCAATTTCTGAAGGCCCAGAAGTTCTACAGCGGTACATCGACTCGGGGGCTATTGAAGAGCTTCAAGACGTAATCCCTATCAGGGATCCAGATGAAGATGACTACTTGCGAGACACAAATCACGATGAGATCGAGAACATGCACAATATGAACAGAAGCAGCAACGACATGGACAATCACAGTCAGTATAACGACGAGGATTTCCGGGGCATGGATCACGATATCCGGGGTTTCAATGCGACAGGAGGTAAGTTGCTGATAAATCTAACTGGAAACAATACTAGTTCTGGCTGCGTTCTCTATAGAGTCTGATATCAGACCGTTTGGTGGTGACACGGACTTCAGGAGCCATTCCGACATGGATTTCCGATCAAATCATGACTTTGATCACAGAAAACCGCTTCCGTTCCGATCAGGTCCCATTCGTCCAATGTCTGGACGTCCAATCACATATGGCGTAAATGAAATGGACGGCCCAGTTGGTCTGGACAGTCCAATGGGTAAGTACTGGTAGTTCGGGAAAAAAACTTCAACTAACTAAAGCGGTTCCATAGGTGGAAGATTGCCACCTTTTGGTCCGAGCCCTCCCATGGGACCAGGAAGATCAATGGGGGGCGCAACCGGTCCGGATGGACGGCGCGGACTGTTGGGGCCCCCCTTGCGAGGCCCGAGAAGTGGGTTCGATAGTTTCGGCGATGAAGATTTTCGGCCCAATTCGCGGTCGTTGGAATTCATTGAACCGTTTGATCGCGACGATGAGTACGACGACAGCAATTATGAAGATGATTATAATAATGAATTTTACGACGAAGGTAGGTGGTTATATAGGGAAGATTAATGCTTAACAGTCCAAAAATCCTAATGTTCTAACTGAAAAAATAATCCCCGCTATATAATGGAAGGTTTAATATTTATATCTTATTATCTCGGGCATTTAAACATTGGAGAATTTTTTAGAACCGTCGAACAACTCTAACAATTGGCAGCGGAATGGAGGCAACTTCCAAAGTGTGGGCTTCAATCAAAGAAGCGGCGGAAGTTCGTCCAATGAAAACTGGAACAATGCACCAAGTCAGAACTTCCGACCTCATGGAGGTAGAGGTGCGAGAGGCGGGGGAGGAGGAGGAGGAGGAAATTCTGGAAAAAGCAGAAAAAGTAGAAAAAGTGGAATAAGTGGACGGGGACGGAGTGCACGAATAACCAGCGCAGGCCGACGTAGAACACCTCGCGGAGGTCGCGGCCGAGGCGGTTAGTTGTGTTAAAAAAATGGACATGAAGTTTGAGACAATCGCAGTGCTGAACTAAGTGGCCGTCCGGCTACTTGCCCGCTAACATTATTGTTAACTCCAAGCCACTATTTTTAGTAGTTATCGTTGGCTTTAAATGGGCCGCAAACAGATAAATGGTATTTCCGTTGGCCCACCCAATGTAATAGTTAATCTTAGTTCAATAAAATCCATTTCACAAAAAGTGCTTCAATAATCAAATCGCTTATATTTAAACATAGACCAACACGCTTACAATCATTTCGTAAAATTACGCTTATTCTTATTAAATAGACTCTCTGAAAAATGTTTTATAAAAACGGTTTGTTATCTTTTAAGTTGAAAATTGCAGCTATCACTACTTTGTAGTTCTTAAAATTGAAGGGACATGTACAACTGTTACACATCGAACAATACACATTACGATTTGTCTCGTTTTTTGAAATTTCGTTTACTTGCACATCGATTGAGTATGTCGTTCACATGCCGCTGATGGTCGAACACTTTCATGATTTGGCATTTTGCGTCCAACATGCCATCATTAATGATTTTGATTCGCTGCAGGTTTCCCTAAATGCATACAGAAAGCCGGTAAGTAGTCAGTAGTAATGTTTTTAGATGCTCTTACCTTGATTAGCTCATTCACTCGATTCACTTCTCGATCGTTCCGGCTGGAACACTCTTCAGATTCGGTGAATTTGAGCAAATCCGTTAATTGATCATATACACACTGTTCCTGTTCGGCCTAAAATTAATTCAATTTCTATTTGTTGAATTAACGCTTTACGTTGAACTTACCAAATCCTCCATTTGAGTCGACAAGTGATAAATTTTCCAGCCATTTACTTTATCCAAAACCCTGTTTTGATTGGCCAGGTCAATGATAGTGGGCCGCCTGTCGTCTTTGGGCTTCACATCACTGTACCGCTGGTAATGGTTGTGGGTGGCTTTCCAGTTTTGCCGATATCCATTTAGAAGGCTTGCTGTAGCTGGTTTGCGCAGCTAAAAACCCCAAAATATTAGCATTTATCCGCGCTAGAAGGAAACTGAATCACCATCGTTACTCTGGAAGCTTCCGGTCCGCCGTCCTTAGGCACAGAGTCCGATTGAGGCCCGTCCGAGTCATAAGTTTCCTTTTTGGCTACGCCACTCTCAGATATGAATTGCATGTCGTCGTGGTTTTCCTCAATATCATTGCCAGTGCTGGAACATACAAAATCCAGTCAGACTTCCGTTAAGTTTTTTGGCCTTTGGCAGCGTACAGTTGCTGTTTCCGCGGCTTCTTTCGAGGACTCATTTCCATTGGAGGTTTCGATTCCTCTTCGTCCTCCTTGATGGTAACCGCTACTGCGGGGTTGCTGTCCTCGTTCGCTTCCGGCAGGCCCGGGCTGGAAGCTGCAGATACAGTCGTACTACCTTCTGAGTGAACATGAAAACCTTCCAAATATAATGAGGAGGATACTTTTTAAGGAACATCATACCTGAGCTGTGTCCATTGCCTCGGGAATCAGGTCTTGTGAGAAAGGGTGGAGACGCTGGCGCCTGGACACAGTTCTGCTGCTGATTCATGCCTTGAAGCACCGGCGTTAGATTTTTCGCTGCTTTTAGCGGCGACCCTTCGTGATCTCGTTTTCGTAGAATAGTCGGCCGTGGAGATGAAGTTATCTACAAAATTAAGCGATTTGCAATTTCCTAATTATGTATTAATGATATCACTAAAATAATCAAAAATTGTAAAGTACAATTATTTGCTGATGATACTATAATTTATTTTATGGCTGATAGAATACATGAAATTACACAGTTCTTGAAAATTTAACTTAATAATGTACTTGAATGGCTTAATAACAATTATCTTGAACTGAATATAAGTAAAACGAAAATGATGATAATAAAGGGTAAAAATAGGAAGCTTGATATTGTGGATAACGTTAAAATTGGTAATAAGAGCATCGAAGGGTGATGCAATTTGAGTACTTGGGATGTGTAATAGATCAACATTTGACATTTTCCGAGCACTACAAGTACATTACAAATAAAATTGCAAAAACAGTTAACATTCTTAGTCGCATATCTGAACACTTGAGTCCTTGGGCTAAATTAACGATTTACAGGACGATTGTAGCACCTCATCTTTACTTTTGTTCTACGTTGCTTTTCCTTATGAACAAGTCTGAAATACAAATTTTACAGAAAAAACAAAACAATGCTTTAAGAATTATACTGTCATGTAATAGATACACAAAAATTAGTGATATGCTAGAATCAACAAATTTGTTGAGTGTTAGACAGACTGTTATG